GGGTTGGCGCCAAGTCGAAATCTGGATGATTACATGGCCCTATGTGGGCCAAATTTTTGTCTAAGCTTGTTCTGCCAACATTGTTGACTTTGACCATATAATAACTCTGGTCAGCTTTGATATTTTCCACTATGCCATCTGGGCGCCAGATTGTGACACGCTGATGCATTGATGATGGAACTGCTCTTATGCCACGGATCCACTCCCTGCCTAGGAGAAAATTATAATTAGGTTTCGTTGAGATGACCATGAACATTGTTGGTCGAACTATGGATCCCACTTTGAGTTCCAACTGTATCACTCCCATGGTAGTCCTAACTTCACCTTCATAGTTCGACAGACCATATTATGGGGTTTGATGTCTTCATCCCCCTTGCCCATCTTTCTCAACATGCATTATGGGATTATATTGATTGTGGCTCCACAATTAACTAGAACCTTGTTTATGGTTGCTTCCCCTACTTTTTCCCTGATGAACAATGGTTTGAGGTGATTCTTCATTGCCTCAGTGGGGCGTTCAAAGAAAGCATTCTGCTCTTTGACACAGCCGTTTTTCATAATGTAATAACAAACTGACCTATGTTTGGCCATCTCCTATTCGACCTCTCAGTCAGTCTCTTCGACTTCGACTTGTCGGTCATACTCCCTGGGTAACACTGACACCACATTGACCATAATATCCAGTGTAGCGTCTGACCCAGAATCACATTCATCTTCTGATTCATTTTGTCCAGGCCACTTCAATCTTCTGCCTACTAGCTCTCTTTCCAAAGGCTTTCTTAGTTTGCCCTTTCCTTTTCTTTGTAGCACATTAGTGCTTGTTTCTGGTTGGGGCCCTTGTGTAGCCTCTCTTTCGGCTTTTCGCCGTCTTTGATATCTCCTCCATTGTGAGTATGTCATGGGGTTTTTTCCCTTGTAGTTGCTCGACACATGAGCCACTTTGTTTGTTGTTGTTTGGAATTCCTCTCTATAGGCCAAGGAGGATCCTCTTGGCACATCGAATGTTCACCATTTTTCCTTGTTGGGCTTTTTCCTGCTTGCTGTTTTCAACCAGGTGTCCACAAGGACATTTGTTGGTGGCCTACTCATTTGATTGATTGACCCCTTTTGGCACCCTCTTCTAGGGTAATATCTCACCTCCGGATCCATGTTGGGTTGGGCATTGGTGCCCCATTTCTTCTTTGCCGCACGCATACCTTGTATGTGGTCAGCAGCTTTTTTGTCGAAGATGGAGCTGCATCTTGGGCACAGCATGACTTCTGACTTCTTTTTTTGGCATCTTTGCAGAAAGTCTGTCAGATCTTCATTTTATTTAGGAAATGCAGTTTTGTTGACTTCCTCTTATCTTATGGCATCTTCTGAAGCCTTAGGTTCAGATACTTCAACCATATTGATTTGCACATTGCTCTTACCAGCTATATTCAGCTTTTGTATCTTGGCTTCTAGGCCCTCCGTCGAATCTGTGACAGCAACCAAGTAGGAACCTGCAGCAGTTCCTTTGTTTGAACTTTCAGTGGCCCCTTTGTTTAGGCCTTTATTAGCCTTTTTCTGTATCATCTCGGCAACTTCTTTGCTAACATCTTCAGTGAAACTGCCAAAGACGGGTTTGTTGATGAAATTTGCTGAGACTTCGACCATGTTGATGCTTGAAGGTTCAGCATAGTTGGCCTCAGCTTGCAATGGGTTTGCGTCAATCTTCATGGGTGGCTTGTCAACAAACTTAAGCCTTTCGTCTTTGATTGCGCCTTGAACGAGATCTCTGAAAAGAAAACATTGTGAGGTTTTATGGCCCAAAAAATTATGATATTTACAAAAACCTCTCTTTTTCCTTTGATCTAAAGGAGGCATTTTTGCCCCAAGAGGCACTATCATCTGGCCATCTTTAACTAATAAGTCAAATATTTCATTACATTTTGTGACGTCAAAACTATATGTTTTTTTTAGGAACCTATCACTATTCTTTTCGGTTTCAATAAGATTTTTTCCATTTGAGGGCGTTAACAATCTGCAAGAGTATGGTGGCCCTTGCTTTAACTCTGCTAAATCAATGTCGCTCTCTTCGATAATTATAGGATCATTAGATGTCTATGGATCATCATCATCCATTTCAACATACGCTACCCTTTCTCTTTGATGATTCTTATTTGCCTTAGCTTTTTCAGCCTTAAGGCGTTCCACCTGTCGAACTCTATCGTCCAATTGGGCCATATCTCTCAGGTATTGAGTATCTAATTTCTTCCTAATGGAATAATCTAGACCTCCTGCAGCCATTTCGACTAACTCATGTTCAGGAACTTGTGTATAGCATCTGGCCTTGAGTAATCGAAATCTTTTCAGATACTCATCAATTGGCTCAGTGAACCTCCTTTTCACACTAGCCAATTCTTTCAAACTTATTTTGGTCTGTCCCATATAATACTGTTCATGGAACAATCTCTCCAACTGATTCCAATTGTGGATCGAATTGGCTGGGAGTATGGTAAACCAAGTGAAGGCATTTTTGGTCAAGGAACTTGGGAAATACTTAATCCTAAGATTCTCATTATTCGAAATTTCTACACCCTCTATCAAATACCTTGCTACATGTTCGACAATGGACTCTGTCGTATCCCCTGAAAATTTGGTGAACTTTGGGACTTTCCACCTAGGAGGTAATTCTAATTGCAAGATATAATCTGACAATGGAGATGTAAAGTTTGTCCTATGAAAGCCGATGTTGACTCTATTATGCGCCATTATTCTCTCAACCATGGCTGTCAAGTTATTATCTGGGGCATAATTGTGGTGTCAAACCCGCTGTACTACTTCATCAGCATTTTGGTTTCTATTTACCATAACTATACCTTGTTCGACAGCTCTAGGGATTTGTGGGACAATCCTGGGTATTTCGACTCTAGTTTGTTCGATTTCCACTCTATGGTTTATCCTATTTGGCTGTGGATTTTGGTTAATGGTCATGTCATCCTCTAAGACTACACCTTGATTTCCTCTTATCAATTCTCTTTAGGGTAGTCGAATAGGTTGGGGAATCCCAAAAAATTCAGCCATGCGCGTCATTTGCTGATTCGACTGGGTAGTATTTTGTATTAGAGGGTTAAGCACCGTACTCAAAGTTTGTGTCAATATTTGCACCATGTCATGGTTGCTTTCATCCATTTTTTGCCTCAAAATTGTTGTAGAAGCATTTGTGAGGCTTGGCATCGTATAAGATGTTCCTCCTAAGACTTGGTTCCTACCCAATTTTTCCATACCAGTTCCAGATCCCTGCAATGGTGAAGATGCACTCACCAAAGGTTCTCAAAATATGGATGAAGCATTCATAAGGCTTGCCATTTCAGTAGTTGACATGCCATAAGGTTGTTCTCAACCCATCCAGGCTGTCGAAAATCTTGGAGGGACATAGGGTCGAACCCCTAGATTTCCCCTTGGTGGGGGCATTCTTGGTAGACCCCTAGGACCTACATAAGAAAGTATTGGTCCTGTTTGTGTAGCCGTCAACGCTGGTGTCGAACCAACTGTTGATGACATAGGCTCACTAACTGTTGACATAACAGTATTTCTAGTGCTAGAAATTAGTGGAGGCATTTCTCCACTACTAGATGGATTAGTCATTTTACTATTTCTTCTCTTAGGTATGTATTCATGGGTGGTTGTTGCCACTTCTCAATAACATACAACAATCTTTGAAAGAAAAGAAATTACTTGAAGCATAAAAACTATTTTTATCAGAGTTTGTAAAACAAGAAAACTTAGCAATGTCCCACCGGGTGTGCCAATTTGTTTACCGTGAAAATTGGTAAACAATTGCTGATCTTCCAAAATGGGTTTTTTTGGTGACTTGCAGGATCGATCATATTGATCCTAGGACATATGCTAAGTTATTTTGTAACTTTAGTAAATTTAAGTGAAAAAGGTTGAGAGGAGAATTAAGAGTAGAGGCAAGATGTAGGCGAAACTTGACGAAAGTGCAAGTAAAAAGTAAATAGAAAGGGGTTGAGAAGAGTTTAAATATTTTTCCAGGGTCGTTTCAAGGGATCTATTGATTTACATGTTACCCTAATCAGACAAGTTGATATTATGTGTTTAAATTTGATTTTTCTATGCATTTTAAGAAATCTCATTTTTCATAGTTGAACCGGATAAAAAATTACATTTGTCTCTTCCATAATTTTATTTATATTTAATTAATATTTTTTTTATTCGTAGATAAATGAATCAGAACCACTAGAAACTCATACACACAATCGTGAGGGTTTAGATTAAAACATTAGCATTGTTGTTTAATCTAACAATATCGATTTTGGTAATTGAAAAAGGATTAACAAACTACTTTTTTTTTTTATTTATGTTGATATATTGATGTTGTTTATACTAAGTAGTTAAATTTGAATGGATTTATTGTAGTGTTTATTTTACAACAAGTTCAAATTCTAAATTCAAATATTCAAAAACAAGTCTAAAATAATATTTTTTAAATTTTGAAAGAATGAGAAAAAGAGAAGTTGGGGAAAAGAATTTCATTAACACTTGCTCCAACTATGAAACATATGACTGCTTTGATTAATATTTGGTTATTGAATTAGATGGAATAAGTTTTTCCAATAAAATAATGAACAAAAAACAATACAACAAGAGTAAGGACAAAGCAATACAGAGAAGAATGGGTAAACATCAACAAGATGCAGTTGATATAGACAAGATAAGGAGCAAATTTATAAGGGTGTCCCCATCCTATAATATTCAAACCGCAAACAAAGAAAAAGAAAATTAATATGAATGATTGAGAAAGAGAAATACGATGCTTCCTCCTACCATCCTAACCCGTTATACAAAGTCGCACACACACACTCATCATTTTTCACCTTTCCCTCTACATATATATATACCCTTTTCCACTCAACTTAGACAAACCCAATCTCTCTCTTCTTCTTCTCATAATTATTAAACTCATTTCCTCGTAATAAAAAAGACTTCAATTTAAGTAATACTTAATTTCTCTAATGGCTAATGCAGAAGAAGTTTCAGCTCTTAAAAGCATCAAATTGCATCTCCTTGGTGAATTTTCACCACTTCCATCTCCAATTTCACAACCTTGGAGTTTAGATTTTGATTTTCAGTTTCAAACCAACTCTTCCACTTTTGACTCATCGATATTTTTAGATCGATATTTCAACAATTTTCTCGAAAAAGAATCACATATTCCAATCTTTGAATTTGACTCCAATACTCAAGCAACTGAACCTGCTAGTCCTGAAGCTCTAATTTCTCACCCTCAAACAACAACAGTAGAGAAGAAGCCTCAACTGAATCGTAAACCGTCGCTGAAAATTGCTCTTCCAAATAAAACCGAATGGATCCAATTCGGAAACCCGGAGGTGGCTGTACAAAAACCGGAAGTTGTTGAGAAACAGCACTACAGAGGAGTTAGACAGAGACCATGGGGAAAGTTCGCCGCCGAGATCCGCGACCCTAACAAACGTGGCTCAAGAGTTTGGCTTGGAACTTTCGAAACGGCTATCGAAGCCGCTAAAGCCTACGACCGCGCCGCTTTTAGGCTTCGTGGATCCAAAGCGATTCTCAACTTCCCATTGGAAGTCAACGCCATGGCGGCGGAGGCGGCGGAGAACTCCGGCGATAACAAAAAACGTTGCCGTGAAGAGGAAGATGTAGTGGTGGTGAAAAAGGAGAAAACAGAGGAATTTGATGTCAACTGTATTAAAGATCTGCCGTTAACGCCGTCAGCTTGGACTGGGTTTTGGGATGGTGATTTTAAGGGGGTTCCACCGTTGTCGCCGCTATCTTCCTTTTGTTTTTCACCTTTAGTGGCTGTGTGAATTTTCTATTTTGGGTCTAGTTTATGTATTTTACCTCTAGAGATGAACAATGCCCATTTTGTGAAATTATTATTTGATTTATTCACTTCATTTTCTCTGCGTATATAATATATTAATTACATTTATAATACATCACAATCATATCACAATCATTTCATCTATGATATTAACATTTCTCCACGTATTGTATATACCACTTATAAAGTATCTATTCAAAATAAAATATTGGAAACATATATTTTTTCAGAAAACCTACACAACATTCAAGTTGTTTCATCTTTTGCACTTCCCTTGCAGTTTGCCCAGAATTTATAAGAGATGACCATTTATTTGAATTTCTTCCATCCATTCATCTTTTCTCTGATTCGATTTCATCTACACAAAATAATATTCATCCCTAATATCATCTTCATCGCTATTTAATCCATTATGTTTTTTCAATTTTCAATTTCCAATATTCATCCATAATTTCATCATTAACTATAAGCAATGTATCAGTTCAAACGTGGGTTCTTTGCATTAAATAGTAGACAAATCTGTTCCAATTTCATCATTCAATTATGTGTGTAGAACGATTGTTAATAAAGGCACAGTAGAACAACAAATTTTCAAATACTGCAAACCCTAATATTTCATCTCCCTCTCCGCCTCAAGTGTAATTGCTTCATCCATAGTAGGTTTGTTTTATTTGTTGTTTCTTTTTTTCATTTTTGTTAACAATTTGATTTCCGAATGCAGACAGAGAAATGAGTCGACGCAATGCCGCTCACGTTTTGATTCAATTCAGAATCGATTTGAGTTTAGAATCAGCTCGGTTTCGATTATCTATCATGTTAAGTTTTTGGCTCGATTGCAAATCGAGTTTTGGTGTGGGGTTCGCATCTCAGAACTGACTTGATTTTGATTGGGATTTTTGTTTCAGTTTTCATGCAGGTTCGAAGCTTATATTATAAACCCTAAGTTTCAGAAACTTATATTATAAACCCTAATTTTCATATCTAAATTCTTTATTTTTTTTATTTTTCATATTTAAATTCTATTATGATGTGTACCATCCTTTTTTCTTTGATGCAGAAGGCATATATACAAGCTTGAGTGTTCATCTTCCGGAAGGTTGAAGCTATACTCAAGATTTGCAGCTTCCAATAGCTCATTAAATGGAAGAATTGCCCATGCCTCAAAACTTAAAGGTGGAAATGTAAATTATTTTGTAGTAGCATCTTTGCTAATGAAGTAATTGCTAAACATAATTCTCTTTTTGTAGAAACCACAAATGAATATTGCAAAAGATGTCAATTTTGTCACTCATGTCAGTTTCATTTAGTTCTCTATTATTGGTTAAGTCTAATAAAGGCTGATGAGAACACCAATGAATCTTTAAAAATCCAAATTTTTTAGTTTGTCACTTTCGTTTCTGTTCATTTCATCTCATATTTGTTTCATTTTTGTCCTATTTTTTTTAGTTGGATTTGGCTGAAAGATGAAATAGTGCCGACGGTGAGCATTGTTGGTCGTTGGTGGTGGTGGTGAAAGAGTACTCATTTCACTTTTCTTTGTAACAATGAGTTGTCGTGTTAAACGAAACTTTCAATATAAGTTTAAGTTATTATACTTTGTATATGGGCTCCTTCGTTTTCATTTTCCTATGCAACTGGCTACAAGTGTATGTAAGCCTAGGATTAAAGTCCAAATATTTGTTGTAAATTTCAGGTCAACATCCTTCTATTGGGATATCCACATCAACTGTTTTTGATGAGGAGATCAAATCACTTGGGACAACTTGGTACTCATTGTAACCCAAAAGCAAGAAGTCAAAGAACAAGGAATCTGGTGTGTGTTGTTTTGCTTAAGTAGTTTGTTTAATTGGTTGAGTATTTTGCATTACATCAATTTATTCTTAGTAGGTAGTTAATTTGAACTAATTTCATGTTGAAAATACCTCTTTTGATAATCTTAGAAGTTGTGGCTCTTATGTTTTTTTCTTTCAAATTTGTTAGTTAAGGATTTGGATTCACTTATTTCAAAATATGACATACTTACTACAATCATAATATTTACTAGAAGAGAGTGTCAAGTTGCAAATATTTTTATAAACGGGAAAAACTCTATTGCTGATACAATTATTTTTATAAATGAAAATAAGTTACAAATATTTCTATAAACGAGAAAACGAAAACAGTTGATACAATTATTTTTATAAACGCGAATAAGTTACAAATATTTTTATAAACGAAAAAAAACAATTGTTGATACAATTATTTTTATAAACGACAATAAGTTACACATATTTCTTTAAACGGAAAAAAATATATCGTTGATACAATTATTTTTATAAACGGGAAAAAATCAATTGTTGATACAATTATTTTTATAAACGGAAATAAGTTACAAATATTTTTTTATACGGAAAAAAAATCTACCGTTGATACAATTATTTTTATAATGATAATAAGTTATAAATATTTTTATAAACGGGAAAAAGTCAAATATTGATACAATTATTTTTATAAACGAGAATAAGTTACAAATATTTTTATAAAAAGAATAAAATCAACTATTGATTATCTATATGTGCGACTCGTGCGAACGCACGTATAGATAATCAATTATATATATATATATATATATATATATATATATATATATATATATATATATATATATATATATATATATATATATATATATACACGCGCGCGCGTGATATTAAAAATTATATGACAATCATCATTGAAGGATTTTTTTTTCTTCTTAATTTGTATATGTTTTTATATATATTTTTAAACATAATATATTTAATTTATATATATTTACATTACGCGATCCGTACGAACGCACGAGCTCTTTACTAATATCATAAAAAAAACAAAATAAATACTATGTTAATTTCAACAAACCATTCATTTATATTAAATTATATTAAACATAACATTGTTGAGAAGGTATCCAAGATTCACAAAAAAGTAAATTGAAAAGTTTACTAAAAATTTAAAGAATGATAAACTAATACCCAAAATAAAAGGTAAAAATCCTTTTCATTTCTCAAAAGAAATGGTGAGTTTCATTACTAATGTTTTTATTCTATACATGTTAAGCTACACAAAATATATGTCACACATTTCCAAAATGTATGCGTTTATTCATCAACACTTTAGTAACTGCACTCTCCATTATTTTATAGAAATGGAGAAGATTTCAACTCCAAAACAACGGGTAAAAATCCTCTTTATTTCTTAAAAGAAATGGTGAGTTCCAGTATTAATATTTTTATTCTATACATGTTAAATTATACAAAATATATGTCTCACATTTTCAAAATATATGCATTTATTCATCAACACTTTAGTAATTGTATTCTCCATTTTTTTTAAGAAATGAAGAGGATCTCAACTTAAAATAACGGTTAAAAATCATCTCCATTTCTCAAAAGAAATGGTGAGTTCCATTATTAATGTTTTTATTCCATATATATTAAATTATACAAAATATATGTCACACATTTTAAAAATATACGTATTTATTCATCAATACTTTAGTAATTGCGCTCTCCATTTTTTTTTTTTAGAAATGGAGAGGATCTCAACTTCAAAATAACATACTAAAACATAAAACAAAATCCATTATAACATATTAGAAAACAACTTTTCAACACCATACATCATTTCGACCTCAAACTAACAAACACGAATCTTGAGAACCGACGAATTCTGAAAGTCAACACATTCCCAATGTAAAGTTTCTTATTTTTTCAAATTCATATCAACCTCTTCCGATGTACATTTTATTCTTATCCATTTCTGGATTTTTTCTGTTAGTTGTATAAATGTTGTAGTTGTAACATTGATCAACTTCAACATCAATCAATTTAATCTATTTCATCCTAGGCCAGAGACATCTTTTGCTTACACATCTGGGAAAGTGCTGCAAAACATCCATATAAATAATGTAGTAATCTATTAACAAATACAATAAATATTCAGAAATTTCATGATGTCAGTTAGGGTGATAAAAATTCTACCAACACATTGGTTGCCGTTGTTTCCGGCTTAGTTATTGTACCCACACATCTATCTGAGATCAGTCTTCTTGATGAAGAAACTGGTGATATATTTAAGTGGGTAGTTCATACAACAGGAAGATGTTCAGATGAAAAATCAATTGGACATGGTTGGTATGAGTTTGTCACACTAAAGCAGTTAAAGACATGTGATGTGGTTGGTTTTACCCTTTTCCATCTGGCATATGTCCTTTACGTGGTGGTGAACTGGCGCTAAAGAATTTGGATTTTACATTTGGATGATTATGTTTTTTTTTGAATATTTTGCAGGAGGTCGTGAAGTATATTTTGGCAGTTAGTAGCTGACTTAGTTAATGACTCAAATAATTTTGCTGAGATTAGGAACATCGTGAAGTATATTTATGAATTAGTAGTATGTGTAATGGTAATGGTTATGTTTGAAATATAAATATGTAGTGTAATGTATGCCACATTTAATGCTTATATCTTTATGTTTTGTATAACCATGTAAAATGCTGCTAGTAAAACAATATGTAATCCTTAAGTTATTTCTAATATTTGATTTTGCTGCAACTGTATCGTTAACAATTCAATTGTATTAGGTATCGTGGAACTGATAAAAGATGAAGCATCAGAAGAGATAACATAATTTAAGTGATTAGCTATTATAAGGAGATAGTTGGCATACTAAAAATAACATTGGTGTAGGATGTCAAAATACAAAAATGAAATGGTTGTCACAATTTATTTACATGATGCTTTATTCAAGGCAGTTGTATAACACTATCATGAAATATGGTATGAAAAGTGATTCATAAATTTATGTAAGAAGACAAAAGCTAGCAGCATTATGATGTCAAGTTGCGTAATGTAACAAACATTCCATAAAATGAATAACTGAAATGAAAAAACTTTGAAGTTAAACATCCATTGCATATAAGTGAGACAATTTCATTGAAAGTACAAATACTAAAACTGTATT